GAACTAAAGGGTGGTGAACAGCGGCTAATTCAGTAAATGAAATAAAGATAGGTTTACCGTAGAATTAACGTAAATTTGTTATTTCAGTGAGCTAACATCGTCCAGTTTGAACTTATCTGAATCGATCGGGTGAAGAAGCCAGTAGTTTCTTTCGTAAATGTTTTAAGCAGTTTTCTAGGCTCATCCGCTCTTGAAGTATGTCCATATTTCAGTAATATTTCACCCCCACTTGAATTTGAATGTATTTTTAGACAGGAGAGTTGGCAGTACCTTTTTTTAATTGAGTCGAAAGTATGCCTTCTTCATGACTTCAGCCATTGTACATATGGCGGCCTGCTTCAAACAGTCAAAACGTTGAAAATTGACGAAAACTATCCATGTTCAGCCAGCTGTAATTTTTCAAAGCTTCTCATTCATTTCTGGAGACAGTTTTTGAGTTTTTTTTTCTCAATAAAAGGCAGGAAAACAAGTGGAAGGCTGTAGTATTTTTCATCTTGGTTGTGAATATCTTGAAGTTTGAAGTACGACAGTTTTCTTCTCAATCTCATGTTGAGTTCTTGAGGTCTTCTTTTGAAGCCTTTTTTGCTTTGTATTTATATGTTTTGCAAAATAAAGCCTCACTTTTGTTAACTAGTATTTCAGAAAACTTTGAACTTTAGCTAAATTCTTTCAAAGTAAACTAAAACTTCGCCTTTTGAGCGACTCAAACACTACATGACTTTTGGCACGTACAGGAAGCCCTTCCAATGCAGTTCTCGTTTGACATGCGCTGTCAACTTTACTTTTGTTGCTTCGCCTCTTTTTGATCTCAATGCCTTGCCATATAATAAATATCTTATTAACCTCGTTTGCTCGGTCCGTACCGTAAGTTATGGATCCTCGTTTTTTCCACTTTTATATGGCCTGCGCGCTACGYGCTTGGGCCATAAGGCAGTGGAAAAAACTCGGTCCATAACTCACGGTACGGACCTCGCACTCGGTTAATAAGAGCTATGTATTTAGTGGTATTTATGTTGTACACTTATAGTGTTTGTACTCTAGTCTAGTAGTGCTAAATAGTTAAGAATTGGTTCACGCTTTTGTGGCGTGCACTGTATTTCACATTTTGTAGATATTATACTTTGTTTCATGCGTTTAAACCACTCTAATGGAAGATTTTGAAAACATTTCAACATCTTTAGCAAGCATGCCGAGATCCTTCTATATAGTTATAACTTGTTCAGTTAGAGTACAAATACTACATTTGTGCAATAGTTATCGTTATATATATATATATTTTTTCTTTCTCCATTTTGTCCTTGGTTTTATCTTTTTCTACCTGAACCACTTCATTTGCTACCTCAATTCGTCCAATGACTTCCTCAAGTAGAGCATCTAGTTCAGTCAGTTCTGGACTAATGCCACTGGCACTTTCTTCATTCTTCATCTTTTATTTGAACTTTTCAATTATCATCTTCAAGTGATCTCTCGCTGCTCTCTTATCCACCTTAAATTTGGGCTGTGATGGTCGTTCAGATTGTCTGCAACGTATTGCCATAGCTGAGCCCTTTCTGTTGTCCTTTGCTTTGCATTGTATGGCTCCACATTTAGAACTTCTCTGATCAATAAGATGTATTTTTCCTCACTCCACTCCATTTTGCTCCTACAAAAAGATAAAACGTCAATTTCTTATTGAAATTCTGTCGACCTCGGGATTTGTTTTAGGTTTATAGTATTATGAGCTTTTCAAAGTGGTTGGTAAATATCTCCACTATTCACTCATAATCTTCATTCCTCCTATTATATAAGCAAAAAAATATTCATTTATTAGAATTTTAAGGGTACAAATTTAGTTTTATAAATGACACAAAGAAAATGAAAAAAGTTCAGTTTTTCCTGTTAAAAGTAAGCATAATTGCTAGTCTACCCAATTTATACTTCACACGAACTATCAAACACGGGTAAGGTAATGTTTTTGGAGTTTTTCCGGTTTTTATTTGGAAGAAATGCCATAAAATCGTACACGAATCTTCAAGCTTTTACAATGACAACTCGTTTCCTAAACCAAAAGTTGTCCTCGTATGGACCAAGGTTACCAAAAACCCAAAACAACAGAAATATAAAACAGCCAATAATGTGATAAGTAGATAAATAAAGGCTTTACTTACGGAGTACACTCATTGTCGACGTGTAGGGGAAATATTTACAACGTTCTCTTCAGCACTTGAACCGCGTAAAATCCACGTTCAGGACAGCGCTTTCAGCTTCGTGACGGTGGCTTTCGCACATGCGCAGTACACACAGGCGCAGATTATTACTTCCGGTTCACGTCCTGGACGTCATTGTCCTAGATGCTTAAGGTCCCTATTATGAGATTCTGAGACTTGGTTTAGAACACGGCGGGTTTTTGGCGCGATTTTGTTATTGACCTAAGGTAATACCGATATATTCGATTTGTCAGTTGCACTAGCTTTGCTTACGAAATGTCGGAGGACTTCCTTAGTAATTTCGTCAAGGAGTTTTTACAGATAAATGACAGATTATGACCTATCGGATGTTTTACAAAACATGTATCCAGGTGAAAGGGGATTAATTGTACGGAAAAGATTCTGCGCCAAATATGGTATTACGAGACGAACTATCGTAGAAGACGATTGCTTGGACAATGCAGCGAGGCAAACTGTRCGCGAGGTATGTATTACGATTCGTATAGATAGATTGATTGTTTCAGTACATGATGGTCGGTTGCTATGGGATACCCTCCCGTTTGACATTACGAGATGACGTCATCAGAAATTGGTTGTCAAGGACGCGTTCAAGACATTCTCAGCGTGCTTTTGTGAATCAGCCCTGTTATGTTTAAACGCGCATAATATTTACTGTAATATACCTACGATTTACAAATAAACATTGCTTAACAAGATCTATATCTTTACAATTCCTTTTGAATGAGGAGAGCGTGATTTTAGCTGCTTTTCTTAGGCCGCCATTTTAGAGAAAACTGATTTACATCCCTCCCCTATTGAGTAACATTTGGCTAGAAATACGCCAAAGGATCCTTCTCCTCCATAGTAAACTTTTTGTCTTGGGTTTAACCTCAGCTAGTCCTCCCTCGATACAAAAAACCGAACGTTTTTATTATTTTCAAGKATTTTTGTACTTTTATCTTCAATAAGTAAACCATCTAGTGAGAAAGGTATTATCATTCCAAGTCAAAGTTGTTCTTTTTGAGTTATGGAAGGTGTTGGACAGGAAAAAGAACCAAGTTTAAGATAATTTGATTGTCTTTGAATCGCGTTTTGAGAAGCCACTTATCTCTCATGTGGACGCCATATTAGATTCTCGAAGGCATGTCACTGACCTCAATTTTTTGTGGATATTTTCGCAGAAAAGGTCCACTATTATGTCTTAAAAGTAAAAAATGTTCAAAAGCAAATAACCACAAGGGAAAGTGTAACAGTGAAGGAAGAAATCTGGGTGAATTTTGGAGGCATTCCTCAAAGCAGCAGCTTCAAAGCAAAAAGAGACAGGTAAAGGACAAGCTATGTTTACTTCAAGAACAAGAGGCCGAATGCAGCGCCAAAGCAGCTAGACTAGAAGAGAGGGATGTTGAAATTGCAAAGAAAAAAGAGGAAGCAGGTATGTAAAGAAGKTTTCTATATTTTCATGTTTACAATGTAAGCTAAACATGCAGCTTCAGTGAGGCCAGGCCATAACTTACTCTTACTTCTATTTATAATCTTCCCTTAATGCAGCTGCAGCTAATCATGTGTTTGATATGCGCTTAATCTATGGCTAACTATGACAGTCTCTTCCAAGCCAGCAGGGGAAGGGAGTATTATTTGATCTAATTACCCTTAAGATAAGTAACCGATAGTTTTAGTAACACAATTATCTTTATTCTCTTTCATATCGCTACAGTTAATAAATTTACTAATTTAGGTTAAGTGAAACAAATTTCATGGTTATTACATATAAATGCATAGTATATTACTGGATKATTGAAACCTTCATTGTGATATGCCATTGAATGAATTGGTTTTCTTTTTTCTGTTTGTCAGATGAGCTGTTTGCATTAGTTCTTGAAAAGAAGAAAGAGATTGAAGAAGATATCAGTACCAAGTCTGTCAAATTAGATGAGCTGACATTACAATATGACAAGCTGAGTACATTGTTCGAACAAAAACAGCAATCAAAAGCTAGAAGACTGAACTTACCTACTACCTTTCAAATGATCAATAATCTTAAGAGCAGTACTAGATATAGATGACGTCAGGAGAAAAAAGATATTTTAGAATTTATACATGGGGGACAAGAAGGGTCAATATATGGGGCATGGCATTATTTAGTATCAGTAGTGTCTGCTGAATTATTAGATAAGCTTATATCAACTTACAAAAGGGGAAAATACTTACAGGGTATGTTTGGGAGGGCATTAAATAACTATAGTAGCTCAGAAGAAGCTCTCAAGCAAGCCACTTCTATGAAGTATCAAAATCTTTTGTCACGTCGTAAGTTTAACTTCCTATGTAAAACGCACAGCTCATATTTTGATCCTGATAAGGAACTTTGGGTCCCTAGAAATCTAAAACATTTAGGAGTAGATATTAAGTTAATGCGCCAGGTGTCAGATTCAGCTGTGGAGCAGTTTGTAAAAAGTCTTAACATTGGTCACATTGGTCATGTTTGTCAAATTCCAAATGTTTCAGGTTTATGTAGGACTGTTACGGGCTTGGTTTTCATGATTTTAGATCTCCATTTGCGTCTACCTCATCTGAAAAGAAAGCTTGTGTGGCTTAATGGGAATACCAACCATTTCATATTTCAGTTCTCAGACGATGAAATGCAAATGCTTGAAGGTAATGTAATAACAGTATGTGAGCAGCAGTGTACACTTGAGTTTCAGCCAAGTGCTGATCAGTCTTGGCAAAGCTGGGCTGCAAATGAGCTTAACCAAGCAGCAACATATCCATCTCCCTATGCAAATGTACACAAGAGTGAGTTGAGTAAAGTTGGAGGTAGCATTGGAACTACACAATCAGACACCTGGCATCCATTTACTATGGAATCTAGAACAAAAGACCTGATGAATTTAAGCAAATACATGACTTCACTTCCTTCAAATCTGTTAGAAGTTACTAAACATGGCAAGATGCTACAATATATGGCGGAAAAAGGAATCAGGCAGTTGGGCCCACCGAGAATTGGACTCTTTGCTGACCGTATGAGGCCAGAACCTCTCCATGTTGAGATTAATGCATGGCAGGATTTTCTCAACCTTCTTTACAAAGAAGCTTTACAAAGATCCATAATAGATGAATTTCTAGACACACTGTCCGCACCTACAACAGCAAAAGCAGAAGCAAGAAAGGCCACAGTAAGAACAAGTACACCATTCCGAGATGAAGGAGTTGGTGCAAGAGTTGCAAGTATACCTTTAGTTCAACAGCAAGCCACAAGTTTGAATCATATCAGGTCTGAGGGTGACAAGACAGGTGGGTGTGGTCTTTCCTTTCTATCAAAGAAAGTAAGAGAACATTATATTGATGAAAGTACACGCCACAACAATCTTGCTTCAAGGCTTATAGGTCATCAAGCCATTTTACTGGCTCAATATTCCTATAGGATCATTGATTCTCTGGCCATGCCTAATGAATCACCAGCTCAGTATCTAAGAAGGCAAGTATTAAGTAAAATTGGTCAATACCTCAGAGATGCAGGCAGTCTGTTTAACAAGTTAGATACCAATATCACAGAAATTGAATTGCTTAATGAATTATGTGGTATGTATTTTGCTCTAAATTCCTTGTTTTTTCCTTCAAATYTAAATGTTACAGTATGGACTGTAGGATATGCCCTACCTTATCATGCAGCTTTGCTGTTTAAARCCTATAATTGTGGGTATGGTATTATCTCTTTGCAGGCCAAAAGAATCCAAGCATGCTGCAATAAAACAGGACCTATCTCTTACAAATAGGTCTACTGCAGCCGACATCAGCGGTAAATGGGGACAGCTTATGAGGGTGAACTACATAAGAACATTTTATCTTCCTGAACACCATCCCCTTCCCTCTACTTTCACTTCACATTTTCACTCCCGTTTACCACCTCACAGTTCAGAAAGTACTACTTGGGAGTGTGGTAGGTTTATCACAAATGAAAAGGTAAGTGTGTTATCTGTTCAGATGCATAAGAAATTGAGGAGTGTGCTAGAGAAAAAAAGCTGTTGACCTCAGTAATAAATATCCTTAAACCTATTAGCTGTGAATCTTGCACTGCAAGATTTCCAGATATATTTACACTTGAAGAACATATAACCAAAAATCAACAACAGCAACTAAAGGATGTTGTCCCACAAACACTAACACTGCCTCAACTGAGGTATGAACTGAAACAGAGAGGACTAAGTACTACAGGTAATAAAACTATCTTAATTAGGCGTCTTGA